CCCTTTATCTGAAGCCCAGGATGACAGCAGCTCACACAGACAATATCTGGTACACTAAAGCTCCGCTGGGAATAATGCTGCATTCTGTTGGTAGCCGGAACCGGGATTGATACGGTTTCCGGTCCGGAAAGGTACAAAAGAACACCCGTTCTACCCGGAGGTCTCGTCATCAAACTCGGGCAAGGTCCAGGTAGACCGAGTCGGTAGAATTGACGTCAAGACGAAGATGGCTGCGCACACTGTGAAAACAAAACAAATGATGAACAAACAAAGTTATTTGTCCTCAATTTGTACTCTTATATGCTGTTAAATTAAGAGTTTGTGTTGTAAAAATCATACAAGTACTTTGCAATGGCATTTCTGTTTCCACTGTTGATTTGTGTTGGAAAAAAAGTCTGTGCAAGCCCGTTGTAGCCTAAAGTCGTTTGAACCAGCAAAGTCTCCGTTGCTCAGCAACCATGCAAACAAAAACAAACTTACAGCGCGCCGCCACGTTTTCCATACTGTTGCAATGAAACGCTTTCAGATCAGACGTGTCATACGGTCATATAAATCCGACAAGGAATGACCGGCCTGGTTTGCCAAACGAATGCGGCATAAACTCACTCGCACAGATGCTGCCGAAGATGTGTAAAGAGGCGGGGACAACAGCTATCTTCACCAATCACAGCCTCAGGGCGACTGCCATATAGAAGCTGTCAGATGCGGGTCTTGAAGCGAGGGAGATCATGACAGTGAGTGGGCACAGGTATGATGTTGTTTTAACGTAGCCTATGTGTAAAGTTAGTCTTCTAATTAGGAGTCGGGCCCTAAATATACCTTTTGTCTTGCCGGTCTGAGAGCTTGTTAAAAAGCTACTGGAAGCCATCCTTGGAGAGCAGGAAACGATGGAGCAACATACTGTCAGATCAGAAGGCAGAGTCGGCTGTGCCTGTGAAGCGACAGTCCTCCATGCAGTCACCAGAGACTTATTTCACCGGCTGCACAATTAATGGAAATGTGCAGATAAATGTGTATAAAGTGTAAGTGCCTGGTGCACCATGTCTGCGTTACATAGCAACGGTGACAGCGGAGTCCCAAGGGAACTATTTTTGTTGGCAGAAGACAAATAAAATGCTTAAATGATCTATTTTGTCCTCATTTTTCAACATTTCTTAATCAGCCTTGCTTATTTAACTGTTGAACTGTTGTATAAAAGCAATATCACACTCGAGCACGAGGCACGAGGCCTATGACCAAATCACAGCCGTGACAATATACGAGTATAACATCACGAGCTCGAGTGTGATATTGCTTAATTTTATCACACATACAGAAGCTGCTTGCAGATGTTATTCCCGGTCTTCTGATTGTAAATGTCTGCATGGTAATAACTGGGAATATTGTTATCTTTCCTGCGATTCCTTCTTGCAACAGAGCTGATGAACATCATTAATTTCAATTTGACTCATCAGCTGCGTCACCACCATGTCTAATAGGTCCTGATCTAGGACATCTAATCACTGCTCTCATATTCATATGGCGTCACTGCATCTGGATTTATTTTACTGGAGAACGCTACAATTAGGCTGTAATTTGTTGTTATTAGTTGGTTGCAAGTTTCCAAAAACTTTTTCATATTCACTTTCATATTCAGCAAAGTTATAGTAAAAAAGAGCCATAAGAATTTACACAATGTTGGATATTGGAATTTTACACAATGTTGGATATCGGAATTTTACACAGTGTTGGATATCGGAATTTTACACAACGTCTGATATCGGAATTTTACACAATGTCTGATATTGGAATTTTACACAATGTCTGATATCTGAATTTTACACAATGTTGGATATCGGAATTTTAAACAATGTTGGAATTTTACATAATGGCTGATATATCGGAATTTTACACAATGTTGGATATCGAGAACACACCAATAATCTGTTTTTGAAATCACATGAACTGAAATAATGGATCCAGTGGATTTTAAACGGGCTCAAGTCATGTACAAAGCAAGAAATAACTTACTACCTGGCAACATAAAATGTTCTTGGACATGGTGTAACTTAAGAGATAGATTCAATTTGAAAAAACGTTGTTTTCGCACCACTCTGAAAAGTATGTGTACATCAATTTGTGGGGTAATTTTGTGGAACGCACCGGCTTAAGAAATCAAACACAGTAAATAGTCTAAAAAGAGGTACAAAGACAGTATTTTCACAAGGTACAGAAATGATTAAAGGGAATGTGAAGCTCACTCAAGGTGAGACTGTTGTCGGTATTCTCAATTGGTATTTGTTTTATACACGGGGTAATATTGGTTCTCAGGTATTAAGAAGTGTTGTGGTGTAAATGTGTGGTTGATCGATGTGTACTTATGTAGTAGCTTGATTAGTGATGGATTAGTGTAGTTTGGGACTGGGGGATAGGGCAAGACAAGCATGTTGCTTCTTCCTACTCCTTTTCTGACATAGAAAGTTAATCTATGTTTCTCATTGTAAGTCTGTTCATGATTTATTGTTTGTCTCTGTTTTGCAGGGTTTTTTTCTACAATACGTTCTATTTTGTTTCTTTATTTTAAATGTTCGAAACAAATAACTCAAATCAGGTTTTACAAATAAATAAATATCAGGGTCCATGTGACGATGAATATTTGTCAACTGTCTTAATTCTTTTTGAAGATTGTTCCATGTCCAAGGTGCAGAGTAGGAGAATGCAGTTTTCCCAGATCTATTAAACCCAGGGTTCATTAAAAAGCAACCACTTGGAGGAGCGTAGCCGGTAACTACCAGAGCTGACACAGAAGGGTGCAGAGGAAGGCCGGAAGTTTGCCCAACACTGCATGCTCTAAATATTAAGGAGGACGTGTCTCCTGGGTCCTCCCTGAAATCTACACCCATGGTATTAGGTCCTTGTAGACTATATTGGATTTTTATTTGAGTTGAGTTTAAGCTGACATTAGTTTCTTTCAAACATAATAGTATCTGCGTCTGTGTCTGCTGATAAACAACAAGAACTTACAGCACAGAAATATCAAAGACATGTTTGAAGTCATTTAGAAAGTGTCTCCATAACATGATTCATCCCCCAGAGAGCACTGACAGGTTTATATTTAACTGTAAAATGTCACACTCATTTAAATGTTTGTGTATGTAAAAAAAAAAAAAGGAATATTGGCTGATGTATAGTGACCAGATTTTTTTAAAACTGTCATTATTTGTAGTGTGGACATGTGCACATGCACAGAAACATACACAGACCTCATACTTAATAATATAGTCACTGTTAATTATTTTTTGTTTCTTTTATCACTGTGCTCTTCTCTTTGACTTAGTCTTTGCCTGTATTTTACTGTATATGATGTGTTGAATAACTCCATGCTCACTAATCTTACACTAAATGTTTTAATTTCAAAAGCCTAACCAGGGACATGGGCTGCAAATTACCCATGGCTAGAAACCTGTATGCATTTTATCTACTTTGTATTTTACATATGAAGCAGTGTCATATGCATTTGTCCTTGTCAAATAAACAAATAAATAAAATATTTGTATGACTTTTGCATCAATTTGATAAAGTTTCTTGATTTGTCAGGCATTTATCAGAAGCTGATATTCCTGTTTAATAAAAATGTATTAAATGGACTGCACTTGTGTAGTGCTTTTCTAGTTATCTGACCACTCAAAACACTTTTACACGACATGTCACATTCACCTATTCACACACACATTGACACACTGGTGGCCTAGGTTGCCATACAGGGTGCCACCTACTACTCTGTAACCATTCACACGCACTCACATACTGATGGAACAGCCATCGGGAGCAATTTGGGGTTCAGTATCTTGCCAAACAATACCATGACGTGGGCTTTAGGAGCCTACCTACCTCTGAGCCACAGCCACCAACAATTATGTCTGCATAAAAATGTGCTATACCAGTACATCAATATCACAATATAAAACTTTTGCGTAGGGATGCACATGATTGGATTTTTTGTCGATAATCCAGTATGCCGATTTATAACAACTTGGCTGATGACGATACTGTCTCTTCTGTAGTGGAATTAACATCACATTATGCATGCAAACACTTATCATGATAGCCCACCAGCAGATGGAGACATGAAATACAGAGCTTTTCAATGTAATCAAATCAAGTTTATGTACATAGCGCATTTAAAAACAACTGTAGTTGACCAAAGTGCTGTCCAAATTTAAAAAATGACACACAAATATATAGCAATATCACATGCATACAAATATAAAACAGAATAATACCGGTAAGAACATATGTATAAAAAAGATCATAAAATATTAAAACCACTACAAACAACCAAAGGCCATTGAAAACATGAAGGTTTTAAGATTATTCCAGAGCTTCGGAGCAGCTACCACAAAGGCACAATTTCCCTGACCCACCAGCCTGGATCGTGGGACAGTTAAAAGTAATTGTTCTGAAGATCTAAGAGGTTGGGAGCTGGAGTAGGGGCAGAGAAGTTCAGCAGTACACTGGGGTGCCAGCCCATGTATGGCCTTAAAAACAAATGAAACAAGCTAATCAATCCTGCATATAGCCAGTGCAGAGTATGTGATTTTCATTCATTGTGCAAAATAAGAAAAAGCATGTTGCTGATACCCTTAGTTAATTTTAAAGGCAATATTGGCATGAATTTTATAGCCTACATATCGCCTCCTCCTAATAAGCATAGGAACATCTTGAAAATGTATCTTCTGTGGTTTCCTATTATAATGATTACAGGTGGGGTGATAATAACACCTGGGCAGGTATTAAAAGTCGCTTTTTTTAAAAAATAATAATAATAATAATTTAAGTTAATTTAAATCTGATGTTGTTTTGGAGCCTCCATACATCATCTCACTCTGGGAAACAGCTTCAGCTTTACATTGACCCTCATCACCCTCCATACCCCACTGAGGTCTGCCACCGACAGGCACGCAGTAGCCTAATGCTCAGTGTCCGTCTGTTTGTCGGATGACTAAAGTTTGGGTACTTACGTGTCGAGGACAGCAGCACATGTGAGACAAGGAGGAGGAGGAACAAGAAGGAAAACATGCTGCTTTTCTTCCTCTCGGTCCTCTCTGAGTTTCCGGGACGTGAGGAGCAGTCAGCCCAGCAGAGGTGACCGCGCAGCTTCACTCTTCAGCGGCTGTTCTCAGATCAAATGTTGGCTCCTCTTCACACCGAGGTGTCTGCAGTCAGGCTGCTGCTGGAGGAGACACGAGGTTTGATTCCTTTTAACTCCACAGTGACTCTGCTGCTGCTGGAGCAGCGCTCAGGTTCACACTGTTTGCTCCTCCCTTGTTTTCAGCCTCATGTTATTAGTGCTGCTCGGTGTATCCCCTCCCTGACACACACACACACACACACACACACACACACACACACACACACACACAAAACTTATATGCAGCCTACTTCTCATTGTTGCATCATTTACAGACAGATCAAGTGAGTTGATGAAGCCTAAAATAAACCCTCCATGTATGTGTGTCATTAACAGGCTACAGCTGCCATAGAAATAAAATGATTCATTTCTAGCAATCATTTTATTTCTGTTACTGCTGCACTGGTGAAAAATATGTAATTAAATCACAGTTACTAATCAAAAATACTGGTGTTTTTCAATACAGGGTGAAGTCAGCTGATTTGGGGACTTTTTGTTAGATTACCAAGAAAACCACCTTAAAATTCTGAAAACTTCCTTAAATGTTACTTTAACAAGGTATTATAGTTCTCTGCTGTATTTCTGTAAAGAAAAAAATTTGCCAAGTAAAATAATTAAAAAAGATTTGGACCTTCAAACACATGAAGTAGCCTTGCCTCACTTTGACAGCAGTCACATTTTTTGCATAATGTTTCATATTCCTTAAGTCACACAAATACTGAACATGTCCGTAATATGACAGGGTGGCACACAATAGCATACGAGTCATGCTTTTATAAACCTGCTGGTGTCACCTCAGACAAATGTATGTACTTTAAACTAACATTTGTCTGAAAATAACAGTTTTCTGGAAACATAATTGATCTATAATTTGGAAACAGTGAAGTGTAACTATATATTTCCTCAAGTGCTGGTACATAGCAGAGTACAGTAATGCACATTTATTCCAGTTTTATGCTACTTATACACTTCTATTCATTTTCATTAAGATTTTACAAACAAATACATGATGCAACATTAATTATTTTTTATACAAATAAAAAGATGAACTACTGCTTTAAAATATTTTTTATTGCTATAGATTCAACCGTCCAATAGTTTGTAAATCAAAGACAGTTATGGCTCTAATTCAGCTTCAACTTAAAATAGCTTTTTACATTCTCTATCAATAAAGTAAGACCAGATCAGAGTCAATAATCTGAGGTAGCTGTCAGATTCTGGCTGAGAACGTGAACTGAGCTGCAGATTTTGCTGTAATATACTCAAATAAATAAATAAATACATAAATAAAAAGTTAAATAAAATAAATAAATCAAAAAGTAGAAGCATATTTGTCATATTTAGTAGGATTATTCTGGCAAAATATTGCATGATGACCAACTTATTATTTCCTGGATTTTGTTTTGGTCACCATAGTCCCTAGATTCTAAACATGATTCTTTTTTTTCCTGGAGGAGGGTTTTTGTGCCATGTGTGTTTCTATTTCTTTAAACCAATGTTTAGACTGATGGAATAAATGTCTTGGGACCATTTAGTGTTAGCATTAGGTTAGTTTAGTCTCTGGGTTTTTAGTTAGTCTTAGTAGGTTATAGATGCTTCATGCTTTGTGTCATGTCTTGGCCCCTATTCTCAAGCTTTCAATGGCTTGTCAGGGAGTTCCTTTCACATCTCCATCTGTTTTTGTGAATACATTTATGAAGTAGAATGTTTATAGTTTCACTTGTAACTGAGTATTTACCCTGTTGGAGACTATTACTGCTTTGTCTTAAGGATCTGAGAACTAGGCTACTATAAGGTGTATGCTATATAATATTCCTATAATGTTCACATTATTCGTTAAATTGTTTTCAATATTTAAACACTTTAATTAGCAAAGTTACATAAACCATCAAACAGACATGACATAATACAGACTAGTTTAACAGGTAATGTCTCCCCAGCTGATGTGTGTTGTGGCCCACATGTGTTCCTGCAGGATCTTTACAATCAGCTGATAACTGTGACATTGATTATGTATGAACTATCAATACTTCAACAAACGGTCCATCTGTGTGCAGTGTGCGGGACATCTGCCCCCCGCACTTTGGCCCTTTTCAACTATCTGACACATTTTTATTAATGTCATCACCGCCACATTGTGCACTGCGGTGAAGGCAGCTCTGCAGGTTATGTGTGTGTGTGTGTTTAGGGGGGGCAGCTTTGTGCGTGATGATGATGATGATGATGATGCGCGTGACGCCACGAGCAGAGGCAGATCAGCGGAGCAGACAAGGACCCGGGCTGAGGCAGCAGCAGCAGCAGCAGCATCCGCACCAGCAGCGCCGCCACAAAGGGAGCTCAGTGCTGGTTGAGGCTCGACTCTCCAATTCTCTTCTCCAGGGTTTGAGATGCTCCGGCTCGGCGGCAACATGCGCGGCTTCTCGGCCCTGCTCTCCGTGCTCCTCGCCGGGCTCGCGGCGGCGTCCTCGGATCTGTTTGACAACCAACTGGGCGACATCAATTACTGCAAAAAGCAATGCCAGCTCACCATCAAAAACAAAAGCCCTGCTAAAGTAAGTTATTCCTGAATGCTGTAGCGTAGGCTGCCTCTGCAGAGAGCGCATTATCAGCAGCGAGCTCATAGATACAGCCTGTCCGATATTTCAGCGCCTGCACCGACATACATACCAACACAATATATATTATGCATCGAAAAAAACTCTATATTTACATTAAATATATAAAATATCTGTGTTTATGTCTGTGCGTAATGACACGGTCGCTCCGATTTTTCACTGCATACTCTTGGATGCTACGGCGCACAATTAGGCCGAAAGATGGATGCAGCTCATTTTCTTCTGCACCTTACAGATTCATCCAAGAAGTGAACTGCATTCAGGCAGCTCATCTCGAGATGTAGCAGCAATAAACTGCGCCAGTCACTGATTAATCCGCAATTAAGAGCTCGGCCGGGGGGCAGGCGTGCGCAGCGCAGCGCAGCGCAGGCAGTGGAGGATCAGTGAGACTATTGTGAGCCATGAAACAATTATCCTTTATTGACAGTTAACGCAGCTCATCCTCCTGCTCCGACCAGGCCACACTGGACCCCGGCAGCACTGTAAATAGATGACGGCTGTGAATCACCAGGAGTTCCTGTGGTTTAGAGCCTTGCCTAGATTTCCAGTGTCGGATGTTTTTTCTCCCACCACCACCACCTCCTCCTCCTCCTCCTCCTCTGCTGCCTTCAGGTGTGGTTCAGGCGTCCTGCAGGGCAGCAGGAGCAGAGCTGCAAAGCGGATCACAGTCACCTGCTTTGAAGACTGTGATTGGAAACGAGAATATGTCGAGTTTAGGGTCATCACACTGGGCAGCAGCTGCAGAGGTGTTGTATAAGCAGCCCCCACCAAACTATAAGACACCGTCTCATGATTTGTGATAAACACCCCGCTGTGAATAAACAGGGACACGCAGTCAAGATGATGACAAGCACAAGGCTGTGATAAACCGTTCATGGTCGCGGTCAGGGAATCTCTTTGTCTCGCCTGTTCCCACAGAGGTCACAGGAGGGCGCTGTTTCCTTGCTCCAAACCGCGAGTTGAGGCATCATGACAGGAGGAAGTACAATAATGTGCATCTTCCTCTCTCCACCACCTCATTTTCCTGCACAAGTTTCATGCCACTGGCTCATTACCACGGCTTCTCCTTCTTATTGACTGTTTATGACAGGCTGTAATACAACAGCTGCACCGTGTCATTAAGAGATGCCATAACCCATCAACCCATCATATTTTTCTAACAAGGGAATCTTGAGTTTATCCAAGGCGTGCAGGAGACATCTCTAATTTTGCATCTCCCTCTCTTCTTCTCTGTCTGGCTGATAGGACTCCATAATGAACGCCTGTCACCGCGGCTGTCGTCTCTACTCCATCTGCCAGTTCGTCAATGGCAACGCCGGCTTCAATACCAGCAGGGAGGAGTGTCAGGGAGGTGAGTCAGTGTGTCAGCCTGTCTGTCGGACTGTCTGTTTGGATGAGTTTGCTGGTTGTACGGTCTTGCTCAGCAGGCTGAGGCCAAAGTTTAATTTGCAGAGGCCTCGATCTTTAATATGTTGCATCAAGATGAGCAGCAGTGGAACCAAATTCTCATAAAAATAAAATCTAACTCTAGTCAGTATCATTTATTTGAACCTACGTCTACTTAGTGCAGCATAATGTGCAGGTTTAGTTTTTTATTTCATTTGAACTGTGCCTAAAAATCTTGAAGGAGTGAGACCTTTGGACAAGACAAGGCTCCTTTTACCTAAACACACCAGCTCTGCTTAATATTGCAGTGTTTTCTAAAAGCTGGCAGACTCAGTGGGTATTGTCTGGGTGTTTGAGGCTATTTCGCCCTGTTTGAACTGCTATATTGGAAATCAATGATATGATTTGCCGTCCAGACAGCAGATGCCCCGTTGCCCCCTGTTTCAATCACGGCAACACGGAATGAGTCGTCTCCGCGGGGGCCAACAAATACATCTCCCTTGCATCTTTATCTTTCTTCCCACATAAACAGCCTGTACCTGTTTCATGTCTTCTCATCTTCAACCCAACTGACTGTCGTGCTTCATGCCCACTCTCTTTTGTGCGTCTTCCTTTTCTTTTTGCTCTCCTCCCCCCCCCCCCTTTTGTTTTCTTACCATCATGCTTCTTCTTTCATGCCTCACAACTATCTCTCTCTCTCTCTTGCTTTCTCTCCAGCCTGCCAGGAGGCATATATTAAGCTGCTGGAGCAGGAGGCCTGCTGTACCGGCTGTGCCAGCCAACCCTCTGAACCTGAGATCAAGAGGAGGAAGGTGAGAAAGGCAGCGCTGCAGTCAATGGCTGCGCACACAAACACTGCAAATGCAGCCAAAGTGACTTAAAACACCACTAAGAACATGTGTGTGCACACAATTTACTGCAGCACATACACTCTCAGCACATACTTCTCCTTGTAAGAGTGTCTTGCTCTCTCTGCAGCTCAGGGCCATGACTCTCCGCCCAAAGCCCCCCTCTGTGATGGAGGCCGTGTCCAGCTGGTGCAACGACATCGTCAGCTCCGCACAGAGCTTCATCTCCTCCACCTGGACCTTCTACCTGCAGGCTGATGATGGCAAGGTTGTGGTTTTTCAGGTAAGTCTTACTCATAGATAAATGATCAAAGTTACATGTTCATATTTTCTACTTTCTGTTAACAGTTTGCGTGACCTGATGGTGTTTTAAGCTCAACTCAGTTCCTAAAACTTTTCAGATGTTTTTAGATATGTTTTTTTTTGTTGTTGTTGTATTTCTGGTTAGGGTGTAACGATACAATAGTCTAGATCAATATAATGATCCAATATTATTAAAAAAGAGAGACGACTGGTTGCTTTGTATATACAAACGTCGATCAAAATCCGTCGGGTGCTCGTGGAGAACGGGAAACATTAGGATGCACAGGAAAACAATCCAGGCACTCCAAAAATATAGAGAAACAAAGAAGGAAATATTAAAAAGTCTTTATTGTGATAGCTAAATCATTAAAAGAGCTGACATGTTTCGACCACTGCAGGTCTTCGTCAGGGCTCTCAAAACATACAACACATGGCCCCACATATATAGTGGCCAGAACCAATCAGAGGCCACCACATGACCCATATATTGGCACGGCAGGTGAAACAAATAGACAATAATGAAAAAATAAGTTAATAAAATACAGAGTGACGTGAGGTAGGATAACCAGGAAAAATAAATTCAGATATATACACGCCTATTTTAACCCACAGGCTGTGAAGTGTATATCCAGATATAATATCATTGATGCAAAGTGCAAATTTCGGTTCATGTCATTATCATAAAGATGCGGCTTAGCGCCAGGCAGATAATGGAAAGCAGCCAGGAAAGAGACAATGAGGATATCGACTGATATTGTCTCATACTGATCGCAGGCCCGTGAATCAAATTAAATCCAAATTGCACTGTGACAGACTTTGTGATATCAGCAAATATCGTACTGTCCAAGGAATCAATATAATATTGTATTGTGATGAAACTATTGATTTACACCCCTAATTTCTGCTATCAGCGGTTTGTTTTAGTAATAATTCATGAAAAGCTTCCGTCCTTTGGCTGAACTTAAAATGAAAACAAACTCCACCTCCACTGATCTAAAGTTAATTCCCAAAAAGTCAAGAAAATGGGTCGACAAATGATCTCTACATTTGCAATGTTGCACTAAAAAGCAGCAAAGTCAACTGCTAACATTGAGTCCTCCTCCTGTTTTGGTTGAAGTCCATCCAACACATTTAATACCAAATCTTGTCATAAAACAAAAGCAAAGAGAGACACAATACATTTACACGTTTACACTGTGCTTGTGTGAATATGTGTATTTTTTTATTTTATTTTATTTTTTTTACAGTGTTTGTCGATGTTGCGTGAATCAGAATTCATTTAAGAGTCACATGTTGTAGCAAGGATTCAACCTGTTTTAATTTTAGCTGCAGGGCTGCAACATTTCACCTCATTACTCTGAATATCTGCGCTGACAGCAGAGTTGGATCTTTAAGTGTTTGGCTGCAAAAGACACAGACAGATGAACATTGTATTACGGCCCACTGAGTCATGACGGTGGAAAATTATAAGATTAATATCTACAAAGCTTTTTCATGTCGTGTGTTTTATGCTGGAGGTTAAAAGCAAGCAAGTAGACCTTTATAGATTATGAGCTGAGCTAACCTCTGCTTCCTGTTAAGATAGTGAAATATATCCTCTCAGCTATCCTCTGCCGTAGAGCTTGGGTCACTGCCAAAACAACTCACAGCCCATTTCAGAGTCAGTGCATCTGTGAAGGTTGAGTGAGCAAGGGCACACAGCGGGGCGGGGACAAGGTGGCTGAATCCGAAGGGCTGCAAACTATTTTTTCAGTACTTTAATTGTTTATAAATGTCCTTTTAAATTATGTCACTTCCTTCAGCGCCATGCATATTTGATAACCGGCAGGGCTAGCTCGCCTCAGGACGGAAACTCGCAGCAAGATTTAGAAAAGAGTGGACTGCACTAAAAGAATAAAGTTCTGGTTGTGACAAATAAATATTCAGAAGTTATTTCTGGGAGTTTGAAAAGATGAAGCGAGTGGAGCTGCCAGACTTGCTGTTCAAGATTACCCTCGCAGAGGAGGTTATATTTTGGCCCTGTTGGTTTGTCTGTTTGTTGAATAACTCAAAAAGTGGTTGAAAGTTTTGGCAGTAATTGCTTTTTGGTGCAGATCAAGGATTTGCATTGTCACAACTGATGAACTACGTACCGCTTTAAAAATCTGTGTGTATTTTCATGCAGATTTGGATCCAGACTAAACATTTCTTCACATTTTCTATTATTGAAATAGCAAATTCAGAGGTTTTTGCAGCCTTGGCAGAAGTCAGACTTGAACGTATTGTTAAGGTCAATAGTCAACCACCTATACATTAAAGCTATAATAAGATTTGGTTTGTCTAACCGCCAGACTCCCCAACCATATCCTCCAAAAACTGGTCAGAAACCTGCATCCCTGTCAGGGGTTTTCCCATTTGTGACTTTGATGGCATTTTTAGCTCCATAATTAAAGGGCTCAATGGGAAATGACAGTATTTATGCACCGTAACCCATACAGAAGGGCTACTGTATAACAGAGGAGCCTTTTATGTGCCGAAATTCACTATTAGGTACGAGAAGCTGTGTGCAGACTGGGCTCTGAGGCACCACCTCATATGGAGATACAGCAGCCAGCCACAGAACATGGAATTACCAGCATTTCTTTCGGACATGGTGATGGATGTTTGCTCTTTATGGAAGTGACATGCAGGCTGCAGTGGCGAGGGGAAGCCAGGCTCCACGGGGCTGTGAGAAGACTATCAGGCCTGTGTTTAGTGGGCAGCTGGCAAACCGCCACCAAGCTGACAGATTGACTCTCCGAGTGTTGAAACAACAGAAAAAGTCCAGCTAAATTGAGGGACAGCACAGGGGGGGAAACAAGCCAACGCTGTCCGCCATATAAATTATGTGGATCTCTACAATGAGCCGACTGTCTTTAAGCATCCATCTGTGCGCGCATGTGTGTTTGTATGACCTCAAGTTGTGAGAATAACTAGTTGTGTGCATCATAAAAACAAACAGTGGCAGCAGTTAGTTCGGATTATAAGGGTGGAGTAAGTCACTTTTAGGTCACAGCTGGGGTTTGTCTCCTGCAGAAGGAGAAAATAAAGAAAACTTGTAATTTTGAGGAAACAGCCTTTTACGTTAGTCATTCCCTCCTCACCAGCCCCTTGTTATTTTGACAAATCAGCCGGTGATAGTGCGACGGAGTGCGAGTGTTTGGGACAAAAGTGAGTCGATTAAAGACTTCCTCCAACTGAGCCGTGGTTCTGTTAGCGAGCTGGCCTGCAGAACAAATTGAACTCGGCGTAAGGCTGAATACAAAGAGAGAAGTCCCTACCCCATTTCTTCTTGACAATTGCATTAGTCATTCTGCCCAAATGAATTTTCAGGAAACAAAAAACCCTGAGCAGAGTGGAGAGAGAAATAACAGTGTTTGAAGCGTGACTTTGAGTTATGAGGCTGCGCCGAAAAGGAAGTCAGTGTACTTTCTCATCTTAGTTTACTCATCTAAGCACAAGACACAGAAAGGGACTTAAGCATGAACAGTACATATGGTATGTGAGGCACATTCATGATTTACGGTATTGTGGTCTATTTATTAAGGTCTGTGTTTGACCTCCCTACCATGTCTGTTGCTTTCATCCATAGGCCCATTAGTTAATCCTGAAGATATGAACTTTAAAAGGGGCTCAGTAATATCCTTAAACAACTGGGAATTGTAGTTTTTAGTTAGCGTTAGCCAAACAGGAGTAAATAGTGCATTTCTTGGGGGCATTCTCAGAAGCGAATTAATACATGTTTGGTGCACTAGTGAGCAGTTATGGCTGCAGGAACATGTGTGTGGGACAATAAATTACAGAGGCCATTTTCATCTTAAAGCTGGGGTAGGCAGAAATCTGGATAAAGAAAAAAAATAAATAAACAACAGAATTTAAAAATACACCCTCTTACCGCAGCTCTACCTCTCCCACCAGCTGGCCATGAGCATATGCAGACGGTACATACAGTAACCCAGTGTTCTCCATACCCCATACTTAGCCATACATGAATTTATTTTATCTTGTTTCACTGTAGAGTTGCGCTCACTGCATTCGCTCAGCCCCTGTTTGCCTCACTATCGTTCTTTCTTTCTTTTAATCAGACCACAAATGAGACAATAATTAGCTAGCTAGCCACCCCACAGTCCCTCCACCTCGCTCCCCGCCACCATGGACTGTTTCACAGGGAGGGGAGTTAGCAACAGCTCTAAGAAGAACCCTCGGTTTGTGGCTGTAGTGGCTCGCATTCGCTCAGCGCAAACCCTTAGCACTCACAGTGGACTGGTAGCCAGCATTAGCGCCAGTTCTTACCGGTGTTATGGCAGCAACAGAAAGTTTGCCCTAGAGCTGGGGTTTGGACTGGCTGATTTCAGGTTGCTGCAGCTGCTGAATGGGGATCCATCTCTGGAGCTGCTGTGAGCTCTGCTCCTGGTGAGGTGGAGGACACACTGTGATTCAAGGCTCTAGCTAATGTTAGCTACATAAACGAGAACCTGAAGCCACATTGTGGGCCTTTGGCTCTGGTTAGCAGAAGGCTAAACTATTAGAAATATTTCTCTCCATCTCTGAAATGTTTCGCCAATGTTGGTAAGTGTTTTATTGCGTTTATTGTCAGACTCTCTTCAAGACTCTCTTTTTGGATTGCTTTACAGTGAAGGCAGTTGTTGCTGATGTTGAAATATTATCTTTCTCTGCCGGGTTCTCCACTATTGAATCAGGTTTTCATCTAAGGGACATGCATGTGCATCTGTATTTGTAGAACAGCCAATAGGAACACTCTCTCTGAAATACGTTGTGATTGGCCAAAGTCAGGGGCTGTATTTCCTAAAGCCTGAAAACAAAGCTAAGACGAGGTGCAGAGGTCTACTCTAGTTTTCTCTCAGTCCAACTGAATAACAATATGATCAAAGCTGATTATGGGATTTTTGCCCAATGATGCCAAAATAAAACTGCCTACCCCAGCTTTAATAAACAGTGGCATTCTATGGAATAGAGGGAGAAGCTACGTCACATTTTTAATACTTAACACTTGTTAGCAGGATCAATTTATTATTGATTTTTGTCGTTTCATGAGTAAGAGAATTAGCTCCAGAATTTCCCCAGACTTGTCTTTTAATGCCAAAGTATTTAACTTTAATTCTGAAGTGTTAAAACCCTTTAACACATCATTTCACGTCATTTTATACATTTTCTGTGACCTTGAAATTTCGTACCCAATGGAAATATAAAAAGAAGTGTTACAGGAATACACAATCCTCAAAATAATAATCAGTTACTCACCCCGTGTTACATTGAATTCATGAAGAAAACTTTTCTCGCATGCCTCTACGGTGAACAAAGAATCCAAAAAAGGATCTTGATGAACTGAAGTAAAAGGACTACGTGTTCATGAACAACAAAACTATGTCAAAACATCCATTTACAAACTCCCACTGGAGTATAATCAAAGTCTCTTTTATCCAGTCGTATGCTCAGTGCTTCCCAAAAAATGCAGTTTGTTTTGATGTAGTTTTGCTGTTGTTCATCAAAACAAGTTTTTGGATTCTTCTTCCATAGTGTAGGCATGTGAGGGAAAACAGTTTCCCTCATTAACTGAATATAACACAGGGTGAGTAATTGATATATGAATGATCACTCTGTGGTTTAAGTACTCCTGTAATTGACCACATGGGGGTGCTGTAATCAAAGTTAAGGCCATTATTTTGATACCATTCGTCCAATTTACTGGAAATATTTCCCCAAGGTTTATTTGCTTGATGATTAATTTGCATCAAACTTAATGCACAGCCAGAGGGGCTTCAGCTACACTTTGTAATCACTTACCCCTCTCTGTATGGAGGGATATTTAATATGTAAGAGGCAGTGTTGTAATTTTGTTTTTTTTTGTTCCATGTTTATATTCATTTGTGGAGCCTCAAAAACAGATTTTATTCAGTCCCAAAATTAACACAATAAGAGAAGTGAAAGTCTAACTGTATCCACCACTGTTCAACCTAAAACCCTGTCTCTCTCTTTCTTCTTTCTCGTCTCCTTTTCTGTGAGCCAGAGCACCTTTTGCATTCCCCCTCTCATAATGCGTGACAGATGCAGATCAGGCTCGGCTCGTTCCGATGGTTAGATCTCTTCAGGCTGCAGCCAATGAGAATGAACCCCCTCACGTCTCCGCAAACCTTCACACTGCTGCTGCATCTGGTTTCAATGCACTCTGTCACAAAACGCTGCTTGCTAGGGGTAATAAACCCAGTTGTGAAATAACTTTTCAACAAAGGCGATTTGAAGCCTTTTGGGAGGCAGACTACAGTAACAGTAACAGACAAGTGATTAAAATCATTCTGTAGAAAACAGATCAATCATTTCCTAAGTAAAGTAATGAAAATGAATGAAACTGCAAATGAATTCTGCTACTTTCACATTATAGCGTAAGACACAGCAAGAGGTTTCAAAGTTCATTGATCCACTTAGTGTCAGAATCGATAACTACTGGGAGGTTGATGCTGCTGCAGTGGGATATACTGTACTGCTCTAAATACAAGCGTGTGTGTGTTGTTGCTGAGGCTAGCAATAGTATTGTTACAAGCAGAGGGAGGGTCAGCAGTGGGGAACCAAAAATCCTCTTTTAATGAGTTCTCCAGGGGGAACCAGAAACACTGTGCACATAATAAAACACACAACAGTGCAAATACTGACGGCAGGCAGTGCGTTATGTGTGTAGCAGTTGTTTTGAAAACCATTTTTCAGAGGTGTTGTCCCAGTTCAAGGGGTTTTAACTAAACTAGTTTGAGTAGGTGAGTAAGACACAGACAACCAGATAAATTGAGCAGGCAAGAAAAAGGGATGGAAGTCATTAGTTTCAGGGCTGTTTGATTAAGTTATGCAACACATTTAATGGTCAAAGTTATTAATCATTTTGCTTGTGTTCAGATTATGATTCAGGAGACATTTTTATCACTGACCAGAGGAGTAAATTCAGATGGTGACCTCGTAAAACAATACAGTGAAAATATTTCAAACTGCAACACTCTTATTTTAAAACCAGAATAATTCCTGTAACTGATGGTGATCTGTTGACCCATTTTAATTAAACTGTGACACCATGAAGGCACGATGATGAGTGGATTAGACATGGAAAAATTCTGACATTCAATATTATTGACTGAGAGAGATTTTATATTTTATTCATTTATTTTTATTTTATATAGAGATTTTATATTTTATTTTATTATATATATTTTTTTTTACATTTTATAGATATTTTATGTAAGGATTTTATATTTTGTTTATTTATTTTTTTTAATTTTATATGGAGATTTTATATTTTAGATAGAGAATTTTTATTTTATTCTTTTTAAAATTTTATATATAGATGTTATATCTTAGAGATTTTATATAGAGATTTTAAGCAATAATGTTCCAAAATATGAGTTGATATAAATTATTTTCTTTATTGAATCCAACTTATTTTTGTCCAGATATTTAGTAAGATTGTATCAATTTCATCCAGATAATTAGTAAATCTAAAAAAAAAAATATTTGGCAAGCTGTTTCCTCCTGCCTCCAGTCTTTATGCTAAGTTAGGCTAATTGCCTCAGGCTCTGGCTCCATAGTTACCACACAGCCATGAAAGTAAATATCTAACTATCCCTTTAATGCTTAATGTTGAGTTTAGCTACATTTGGAAATGTAAAAATTAAATCTTGCCTTTCCTCGTGTCTCATTGTGGATTCATCTCCTGAGGTGTTTCTCTCAGTTCATTTGAGCTTCCCAGCCAACTATTCTTAGTTGGAGCTCCTCTGTGGTCTGACCTCACAGTGTTAAACAGACCCTTAGATGTGCTGCTGGATTACTGTGGTATAATTGCTGCCACAATGGCTGAGTGTCTGTGTTGTTTTTTTCTCCTCAGAGCCAGCCAGAGATGGAGTACTCCCTGCCCGAGCTGCAGGCTCCTCGATCCAACGTGGCAGATAAACCCTGGCCTCAGGTCCACTCTCACACCCAGAGACCCCATGGTGAGCACAAAAACACACACATTTATTTATGTGCAGCAGCACATGCAGGTTGCTACAACATTCTCTCATAAGCATCCAACTGAAATCGTCTTTGTTGTTTGTTTTCACTGACTTGTTTGTCAGGTGTGAGGGGACATGGCGAGAGGGGAGCATCCAAAGCAGGAGGCAAAGGGAAGCACCCAGTCCAGCACACAGACGACCCCACTGCTGAGCACGACTTCCTCGGCTGCATGTCAAGGTGAGCCGGAGCTTGAGTTACCTTGCTGAGACTTAAAGGCTTAAATGAGAGAACTAATGTTTTTACATAAAATAAACTTATTAGTAGTGCCAGTCATTTCGTAATGAAAACACAGTTTGATTTCCAGTTTACTGTCAGCATGGAAATCAACTTGCAGAGACTTTAAACGTTCTTGACCGAACTAATAGCTAATCCATCACACTTATCCAGTTTTATAATTGTCAGACTTGTGATATGCAGTGTGCTTTTCAAGTCAGTCTACGCTCTAATTAACTGCCTTACCATGTGATGATGTTGTAACGTCGACAAAAATAGATAGATGTGATGGATTAAGATGCAGGCACTGAGATGGATTATCTAACTCAGTGGTTCTCCAACTTTTTACACCACGTACCACCTTAGAAAATATTAGGCTCTCTAAGTACCAACACCAAGACAGACAGCCCAGCCTATTCAGCGACACACAGTTCATGCATAAGGCAAGTTTATTCCCTCACCTTTAGTGCTATATCGTAGGCAGCTGGACATGCCTGCTTCATTTCATAACTGATGAAGCCTGTTGGATGAGAGGTGAAACGTTCTCAAGAACTCAAGCAAATCCAGTTGCCTACGATACAGCACTTAAGATGACCATGACCTGGATGACTGAGAATCTTCACCAACTTCACCCTCTAATGTTTGTCTCCTTCTTTTCTTTCGTTCTGCAGACGTTCAGGCCTTCCGCGGTGGATTTTAGCGGCCTGTCTCTTCCTGTCCATTATGGTCATGTTGTGGCTCAGCTGTGCCAGCCTCGTCACCGCACCAGAGCAGCACATCAAGACGCAGGTACACACTAACACACACACAGAAAAATACCTATGACTTAATAAGCTTAAGTCTCGCTCACAAATTTAAGGGCTCGCTGTCTGCAGCTGTTTGGTGACTCAGCATACTTGGCCGTGCACTCTGAGTGTGAAAGTCAAGACGAGGTGGAGAGAAGCATTTTAAGTGAACTTCTTTGTGTTTTTTCAGCTGAGCATCAACGGAGATAAAGAGTTTCTGGATAACGCCCACAAAGTCAACCCGTACCACCTGAGTCCTGTGATCGCCGTCGCCATGAAACAATCGGAGGAGAGCCAGGAGGCAGGGCCGCTGCCGGTCAAAGTCGACCTCAACAAAACCTGTGTTTAGAAAAGGACCAACGGGAGAGCTGCTGTCTTGTTTCCCAGGGTAACCATGTTTGAAATCCGCGGCCCGTCGGTACAAGGGGTGAAACAAACACATCACAGGACTCAACCAGTCACCAGAATTTTTAAAAAACCCATATTTTTAAGAGCATGGCACCCTCCCGTCATTTAAAATTATGAAACATCTAGCTTGGTCTTGTTGGTCTGATGGCATTTCATTTCCTTGTACAGCCCAGATTTCTTCAAGTCCATCCTCAGATTATCTTTAACGATCAGCCTGCTCATTGCTTATTGATAAGTGAGTGCTCTTGTCTCTGAGCCATGCTGGAGACAAGCAGGGAGGATGGATCGCAGCCGAAAGCTTTCATATCGTTTTTCATGTCTAGCGTGGACCAGAGATGACAAACGCCCAGATTCATTGTAGATTTAATTTTGCCTCGTTCTCACAGAGAGTTTGGATTAATTGATGGGTTGCTGAGAGCGAAAAGTGAAAGAGAGGAAAGGAAGATGAATAGAAGGTGGGCTGAAAACTTTGAGAGCGCTCCTGTGAGCTCTGCAGGAAGGATTAGAGATTTAAAATCATATTTTCCCCCCTCACAATGTAAAACAATTCTCCCCAAGTTCGGAGAAACGTAGACATTCTTACTCCAAAAACTAAAATAGCATCTTCTGTCACCTTATTTCTCTGTGTGTTTGTGTATGTTTGGATATGTCTGGATGTGTGTGTACAGCACACTAATAATAAAAACTGGTAGGTTTCAAACTGGACTGAAAACTGGACGCTCTGTCAAAAACAAAAACTTTATTTATTTTCTACTCTATTTATTCAGCGTCATCATCATGAGTTAACTGTTAAATAGTGTTATTGAAGTGCCATGTACAGTTAGTTCATCATACAAATGTAATTGCTCTGTATGTAAAAATACATTCGATTGGGAAGAGACACATAGAGGGGAGACTGCACCTATTACTGTATTATTATTCTCATCATATTATTGCTCTTATATCACTTCAAGAGTTCTTAGCTGTTATATGTGCCATGTGCTTTCTAATAGCTGACTATTTTGTATGTCTTAGGAGCACACACTGAAGGATAACCTCTGTAACAATGTGTAATGCAAAAGCTTTTAACATAGACCGTTATTATTGAACAGAGTTGCACAGTCTTAGAGAAGATTTTTTCTGTTTTCCTCTCAGTGCTTTTTGATGTCCTGTAACGCTCTTTTCATCCAGGCTGCGTAGACAATAAACCGTGCATGCAAGTGATGCTTTGATAGTTTAGCTTAACCGCCCGCCATTGTCAGTATGGCAAGACTCTACTGTAGACTTGTGATTTTTGTGTTACTATTTACTGTAAACATTGAATAGAATGTGTAATTATGGATGACGGCATCCTCGTGATTTTACGGGAAGGACTCTTAATTAAAAAGCCATTCAATCGATTTCCATGCTGGTTCAGACTGAAGGTATACATCACGAGGAGTATGATATGGATTTCAAACTGTATTGTTTCCTTTTTACTGGTCTGTTTATTTTCAATGAAATGAAACTGACAACATGATGAAATAAAGTGTTTTCATTGTAAATAAATTAATGTGTCATGTTTTTTTTTTGTTTTTTTAGATTTACATTTACAAGAAGAACAAAATTGAGTGTAGCGTTAGTTCAGGCAGGACATGATGTCAAGCTCAGCTCACATCCCAGCTATATCAGCTGATCTCAAACAGCCCAGTCAACTGATGGAACAGGTGATTGATGGAAGGGAGTCAACTGATAGATCACATGATTCCTTTATTTGCAACCAATTGGTGAATTTTATTCAGGGAACCCTGTTTAAACTGCTCTGGCCTGCCTACTGTTGCTGCCACCCCAGCTCCTCCTTTTCATGCTGAGTCTCATCAATGTCATCTCTGTTAGTCATCGATTCTTGCTCTGTTCCTTTCCAGGAGGGTCTTTGCTGCTGCTCTCCCTGCCTTAGGCTTTCCATGTAGGCGCATGGAAGGGCAGGGAGGTTTGCTCTCTCTACCTCAGGCTTTCCTCATTTGCAAGTGGAAGGGTGTGCTCTCTCCACCTTATGCATTCCATGTAGGCGTGTGGAAAGGCAGAGAGACCCTAGAACAGAGCCATATACACTGCCTGGCCAAAAAAAAAGTCACCACCAAAAAAAAAGGTCATACACTCTAATATTTCGTTGGACCGCCTTTAGCTTTGATTACGGCACGCATTCGCTGTGGCATTGTTTCGATAAGCTTCTGCAATGTCACAAGATTTATTTCCATCCAGTGTTGCATTAATTTTTCACCAAGATCTTGCATTGATGATGGTAGAGTCTGAC